ATTTTTAGGGTTTTAGAGGATGCATGCTTACGCTGCGCGTACCCTTTGGTACGTTGTGTGTACGTGTTCTTATCTCTTGAGTACGTTGTACATGGCATGGTACGCCCCGCGTATGACACTTCCTTAGCCCAATCACAAGGGCCCAAACCATTCCAACTGATTAAATATAAATAATACCTTATAAGTCATGGACGTTACAATAACGACTAACTCTTCTTTGGCTGCTACTTCTCGGCAGACATTTGGAGTTAGTTTTATAAATGGTCAAATCTTTTACCCTCTCCCTTGGTCTCCATCTCGGATCTATTTACAAAGTTGAACTGTTGTGGTCTTAGCAAGAAGTTTAAAAAGATTAAGCTTGGTCTTATCTACTCTATTATTTGGTTGATTTGAAAAGCCCATAATGCTCTTGTTTTCAAAAGGATAAGAAGCTCCCCTTTAAAGACGGCATATAAGATTCAACTCATTTCGTACAAGTGGTTTAAGCACCAAGCCAATGTTGATTTTCTTAATTGGAATATTTGGTGGTGTTCTCCTATGCTTGTAATAACTTCTTGTAACTTTTTCTTGCAGTTTGCTAGCTTTTAATGTTATTTTCACCATTCTAAAAAAAGTTACTTAAGTTATGAGTTTGTTGGTGTTTTAAAATGTTTTGAACTCTTAAAAGTATGGGTTGGTGATTTTTAACTTTTAACGTAAGTTATTATAATTTGTTGTTTTTAAGATGTTAATTGTAAATAGTTAATTTATTAATTTGTTTGTTTTTTTAAGTTATTGTCTTATATCTTATTGATTTTGATATTGTTACAACTAGAAGTCTTTAAACTCTTAAAACCGTAAAAAATATAGTATCAAATCCACACGGTTAAAATCGCACAAAAAACACAACACCAACCCCATAGAGTTAAAAACTTCAACCACATGAAATTGAACCGTATAAAAATAACTGCATAACCTCACCGCTACATTAACCGCAAGACCATTCGGTTTCTAAAATTTAATAACAGTATTTACGGTTAACGTTAGTTCGGTTTTAAAAAATAACTTTATCAAACCGCATAACGCTCACTATACAAGAAATTGTATATAAACAAATCAAATTATTTGTTTATTTGTGTTAATTGATGAAATACACAAAAAGAAATTGAAGTTCAAATTCATGTTCAAACAATCTAACAAAAACAAAATACCATTGTCCGATTTGACATCGAAGAGTTAGTGATCACCAATCAAAATTTTAACATAATAAAAAAGGATATTGCCCTGTTATATTTATCTATTAACGTTATTTTGTTTAATTTTTGAATTTTATGAAAATAGTGTTTAAATTAAGTATAAAAACTATAATATTAACATAATGAACTAACTTGATAATATAGCAATTTTAGAATTTGTAAATATTTGAATGCACCTTATGCGACATTAGTTGACATGTTTAAATTATATTATTTATTTATTTTTTAACGGTTTAATATACTAGATAAAAATAATCACTAGAAAGTTGTCACGATTACAATACAAAAAAAATAAAAAAAATAAATAAATAAATAAATAAAAGAGTTGCCATATGATTGCATTAGGATTTTCATTTTTTAGAAACGAAGCCCAGCAAGAAGCTAGACGAGAGCAAAAGCAAGAAACCGTACAAATTACAAACAACTAAGATTATTAAGTGTGGGCAACATGTTCTCACATCGAAAGTGTCCACATCATCTCATCATCCTAGTCATAATTTGGTACTATAACACCAAATGTGGAAATGAACAACACCAAATAATATGGGATAACACATACTATTTTCTATTTCTTTTTTTTTTTTCCTTTTTTTGGATGTTTTTAATTTCTATTATTCTAATTTGTTTTATTTTTATAGACAAAACTGCAGATTTGATCCTTGTGGTTTGTAAAAAACTTTGGATAGGGTCCAAAAAGTTTTCAACTTGCATGGAAGGTCCAAAATCAGGAATTTTCTGTGAATTTGGTCCTAAAAAAGCTAAAAAAACTTTTATGTCCTTTTAATTTCCATTTTATATTTTCTATATTTACTCTAACACTATTTTAATTTTAAAATAATAATAAAATAAAAAGGATTATATATCCCACCCACCACATCCACGGTACCATCCCTTCTCTCTCTCTCTCTCTCTCTCTCTCTCTCTCTCTCTCTCTCTCTCTCTCCCCCTCTCTATCTCTTTCGTCTCTTCATTCTTCTAACATACCTTCGACACCTCTGACGAGTCCCACCCATTAACCATCGTCATTAAGAAATTGGAAGAGCAATAGTTGATAAAACAAACATAAGCACCTATTTTGGGTTTACTCTGTGATTGAATAATAGGAGGGAACTCACACACACATTGTTTGTGTGTGTGTCTCTATGTGTGATAATGATTATAAAAAAGGCGAAGATGATGGGATTAAGAAAAGGATAACACCACTTCCGCATCATTACTCCTCAATTGACAAGCAGATCGATTTCCTAAAATTGATCTTTGTTTGGATCGATCATCAGGAGGTTAAGTAAAGGGGATGTCGACGATAGGTTGATGGAAAGGTGCACCAGGGCAGATTATTGGAAAGGAAGCCAGTCGGAGATGATACGGTGGCCCTAGGCGGAGCTGCTAACGGTTTAGCAGTACACAACACTGCTGACTACTATCGTCGGTGGAGGCAATGAACAAGAATATGAAACGCAAAATCAAAACATATCTCTTTAATCTGGTACACGTAAGTTAGTAGAATTGGGAACTCATGAATGAAGCATGAATGTGCAGGTGATAAGTCATTCCAAGATCTGGGTTTATTCCACTGTTGTAGGAACTCGTACAGAGGGTCGATGATGGTTTCGTTAGGGTTGTTGAAGGAGAAATCATGGAGATTGAGTTTCTATTTATGACTTCAAACCTTGTGAAGGATGCAGTCGAAGGTAGCTTGATCTGTGGGTGATTCTGAAATATCGATTGGGTGGTTAAGGATGACGATTTACAAATGACGGTGGTTGTGAAGAAGATGAGATTGAGAAGAAGATCTAAGTATTTTGTTGGGAGAAAAGTCGTATATGTTTATGTGTGTGTGTGTGTGTGAGAGAGAGAGAGAGGAGATGGGATGTTATTTTTTATTTTTAAAATAAAAGAAGTATTAAAATAAATACAAAAAATACAAAAAAGAAATTAAAAGGGCAAAACCGTCATTTCAGGTGTTCCAAGGACCAAAACCACAGGAATCTTCTAATTTTTGGACTAAAACCATGGAAAAGTTTTGATTTTAGACATTCCATGCAAGTCGAAACCTTTTTGAATCTTGTCCAAAGTTTTTTACAAACCACAAGGACCAAATTTGCAGTTTTGTCATTTTTATATTTACTTCTTATAATTCTACTTTGTTTTATTATTTTTATTTACTTCATATAATTCTAATTTGTTTTATTTTTTTAATTTATGTCATATATCTATTAAAACATATAAATTAATAAAACACAATTTCATTAAATAGTAAATTAAAAATACCATACAAACTTAAAAAAAACATTACAAAGCAAAAAAACATTGAACAAAAAACACACGATAGTCCTACTAATTAAAAATAAAAACACAGACAAACTATATTCGTCCAAGTATTTGCTCTCGATCTTTGCCTTCATCTTCCATATCACTTCGTCTCGGTGGTAAATTTTCTTCGTTTTTGTAAGAATTGCTAAATCTTTCGATATGCGATCTTGTTTAGCTTCTTGACGAAGGAAATTCAAATGCTCCCATTACAATTCATATATTTTATTTGCGATTTTTGTGTGGGCGTCGAATTTTTTTTTTCATTTCCTCGTGCTCTCGAAGCCGACTTTCATTCTCCTCCGCATGTGGTTGAGCGCGCTTCGCTTTGTCGTGTCCCACCGGTCGTCGTGGCGGAGAGATTTCCCCGATGTCGTCAAACTCGTCCGGGATTTCATCGGTGTCCGCGTTGAGGTCGATGTTCGTATGTTCGTCGAAAACATCAACCGAACCCGAACCCGAACCACGTGACCTCTTTGATTGTTCTGATGATGTTTGCATTTTCATCCATTTTGAATCTTTCCTCACGATCTCCCAAATTTTTTCGTACTTAAATACATGACCCATTTGCACGTGATATTCCTCCATCGCGACTCTAAACATATCGAACTCATTGGCATCACTTTGACGTTGCGAAGAAAATTTGTTGTATATCGAACTGAATTTGGTGCACTTTCGGCTAATTTGAGTCAATTTGCCACTAAGCATATCGTGATTGCGATATGTGTCATTCTTGTTCGAAATTGTGCGGAATTTGACAATCACAACTTATCAAAAAGCAACTCTCTTCATATCGTTCCCCAAAATTGGTTGTTTTGAAGTCCCACACCAAGCCAGCGCCAATGCATGCTCTTCCTCCGGTGTCCACCATGTTGGAGGTGCTTCCGTTTGCTCCGCCCCGACAACAACCTCTTTCGCTTTCTTTTTTGATCTCCCTTTTTTTCCCGATGCTTTCTGACTACCCCCGACTTGTGTCTCGACAACGGTTTCTTGCATCAGTGGGGGTTGTGTGGCTATTTGTCGCATGTGACCGAATGTGTTAAAAATGTTTTGTTAAATGTTTGCATTTTGTTGCATAAAAGGCGAGATAAAGAATCGTAGTGAGAGTAAGTTGGGATTGAAAAAATTGCCGGAATATGGAAGTTGTGGTGAGTTTTGGGAGTTTAGAAGGTTCATGTATCCCTCGTATCCCACAAATGGAGTGGATGTGTTTGTGTTCGGAGAAGGAGTGTTCGAGTTTTGATCTATAGTGGGTTTGTGTTGTGAATGATAAAAGAAATAGAGATCGATATAAGAAAATAGAAGTGTAGAATGAGGTATATGTGTATTAATATAGTTTTAAAAAAATTAATTAGTATTTTTTTTTTTTGAATTTTTACGGTTTTAAACGGTAATATTACCGTTTTTCAACAGATTTGGAATGAAACGGTCAAATAATTGTGGCGTTAGCATCTGTCACCATGGTAACTTGTCATAGCGTAACACCTCATGCGACATTAACATAACACCTTTAGGGGTTGCCCATACCGCACCGTCTGAAAGGGAAACAATCCCGTTCGACCTAGTTATAATACTAAATTGCTTCAAATTTCATCCTTAAAATAATCAAAAGAAAATACAAAAATCTAAAACTTCATATTTTATTTAATGCACCACTTGGTTCATTTTTTCAACATGACATTAGAAAATACTTATTTCTTAAAATTACTAAATATTTTAAAATATAAATCTAATTTAATTAGCAGTTCTTTAGTTCTTTAGTTCTTGGTATATTGTTTTCATAAAGATACTAATAAATATATAATAAATAAATAAAAACAAAAATGCTCGCATGCATAAACCAATTAAAAATATAACAACATAATCATTCAAAACAGCACGCACAACCTACGGTCAAGTAAAGTGGAGCTATGTGTTACCATGTCCATGAGCACTACTATACTCCACTCCTTTAATTTCTTATATGTTTTCGACTTTTTCTTAAACCCTAAAAAACAATATTCATTGATACATTTTTTATAACTAATTTAGTACAAAATATTTGAAAAGTATATTCAAATGTACCTAGACATAAAATGAATAGGGTTTTTCCACGAATTAATAAAATTTGTACTATGCAAGATAAGGTACATGTACAAATGAGAACACAAAATAATGCACATAGTACAAGCGGAGGAAGCAGGATTCTGAAAAAAGAAAATAGAGTTGTAATATGTAAAATACATATGTGGCTAGGTTGAAAGGACACATGAGGAAGGGAAACACATGCATGCACTTTATTTGTGTAAGAGTGTGATATAAGTGCATGGTGGATTGGTGGTTGTATGTTATAATTGTTGGAATTAAACACTATCCTTTTCAATTAATTCAGGGCCCTCGATCGACTTATATTTTTGCTACAATTTTAATCATCATAACAACAAAGATCCAAAATATATATATTCTATTTTTACTTTTTTCGTATCTAGTTGTAATAATATGCACAACCAAATGAATAAGATTATCTAATTAATCACTAATTAAGGGTTAGTATTGATTTGTGCAAAATTGTACAAAATTGGAAGACAAACAACTACAATCAAACATAATTTAAGCTTATTGGCTAGTTTATATATTTTCAAACACCTATGTTTGTGAAAACGCTATAAGGTGTTCTTCAAATTCTATGAATTATTAGGATATATGACTTAAATCCTAGCGTGAATCAAGCGAAGAGAATGGGAACAAGGGGAAGAAACAGATTGTTATATAAACATGAAATCCGAGGAGATTTGGATAAGAAGCTAGAAATTAATATTATTAATTTAACCTGATTTTATCCATGGATCATCCTCGTGATCTTCAGGTTTTCAATCGGAGGAACAAAACTGAAGCTATATCCGAGCGTTGATCGATCGTGTAAGTGTCAGTTTATGATTTCCGATTACAATGATAAAAAATCGTCAATAGATATCTAAATAGAATGATTTAATAATTAAAATAATTCGTAAGAGACTATACATATAACTCAACACATCCTTGATTCAGAATCTATTAAAAGTAAGATAAGTTAACAATAGATTCTGAATCACCAACCTCTCGTAACTCTATATACTATATCTGATACAATCAAAAGGATGTATATATACGAAGAGTAACCTGCTTATGATATGATGATATTCTACAAATAATCTCCTTGCAGGTTGCTCTAGAACTTTCGTTTGTTATGCAGTGGATTTGAACCTGTGGGAACTCTTCGCTTCTCAGATCTAATAAGATCTGTGGAATCTGCAGGCGGCATAGTTGTAGTAGAGGGAAGAAAGAGCTGTTCCGTTGCGTGCAATTGGCCGGGAAAAGCTGCCGGAGGTAGGGCCGTGAATCGAGAAGATGATGTGATGGCGGAGCTATAGGTAGCAAAGAGGAGGAAGAGGAAAGAGAGAATGATGTGAAAGCGTATCATGGTTTTGAAGAAATGAGGAATGTAAAATGCGGGCTTTGCCTAACACCAAAGATGGAAAGGTAGGTGTAGTGACTTTGAAACCCCCACTTTTATACATGCAAATTGTAGGTTGCTCAATTTTTTTAGTTTTATTTATTTATTGTATATTTTAAAAATATATACAAATGATATCGAATTATATGTAAAGTTTAAATAGGTTATTGAACAAAAATTAATCAAACCGTGCACACAATTAAATATTGTAAGCATGCTTATGCTTATGTACACAAAAATCTTTTCTTTTCGAGAGTCTAACAGTTGAGGTTTGAAATTTCATAATCTACATGTCCAATCTTACCGGCATGCAAAAAGTATTACAAGTTCTTTGTGATTTACTCTCACATTAGGAGCTCAAAAACGAGTTCCGCATGAGATGTCAAAATGATATGATTTACGGAGTGTACGTTTGTATAAAAAGAGTTTGATCTTGGTTCGACCAAATAGCGAGGGTCAAGGGAGTTGCTCGTCCTTGTGGGGTCCTAAGGGTAAAGCCTCTTGTGGGGTCCAAGGGCAACATTTAATGTTGATTTAATCTTATCTTTGGTAATCATATAATTTGAAAGGCTATAAAACCATAGTTTGTGATCTCATATTAGTGTCTTGATACGAAACTGTTCCTTGGAAGATTATTCTCATGATCTGGTTTTAATGTAACCTAAACATAGGGTCAAATTCGAAATATCAGATTCGGAAAGTGATCACACGATGCATCCTTCAAGTAGATCAAATTTTATCCTCAATTTTAGAAACCTTCTTCTCATCCTCCAAACCCTAACAATCCATGCCGAAAACCTCGAGGGGAAAAGAAAAATCATGCAAAGCTTAAAGGTTTAACAAAACGAATCATTAAACCTTTAGGGCGTAGTATGGTTGGCTTTTAGGGAGTATACTTGTATAAAATGGCACATATTTTAATACGAGGAGTTGTAAGGTGAGAGTTCTAATTAATTCATATATGAATCGAGTAAATTTGAACATTGAACCCTTTATGTAAGTAGACACCTAATGAACAATTATGTACCATATGGTCGTTATGGAAGGGAAGAATGTATGTTAGTTTTGGGGAGCGATAAAGAAAAAATAGCTTTTGGTTAATAACTTTTTGACATTAAATAACTTAATTACATGATAGTCATTTCATCATACCAACAACAATAATAAATTAATGTGCGCTAATGTATCTCATACTCATACATACAACGTGGTTCAATATGTCTCTATATATGTTGAAAATTTTCTATTTCCACAAATGTTATAATCTAAAAACTCTATATGACTATATATGTAAGGAAACATAATCACAAATAAAGCAAACACTCTCTTTGATCACTTTTTAGTTCAAAGATTTACAGAAAATTTTATGCATAGTTCGGTAGCTTTTATACGTATTTATTTGTAAATATCCTTAAATACACCATTGTGAATTTAATTTTAAATTAACATATTAAGTAAAAGAATATTAATCATATCAATTACCGTAGTCTTTTGAAATTGTGTGAAATCAAACATTTAGGTTTAAAATATCCGCAACACGCGTTTGGTCAAATTAATATGATAAAATGGAATTCCGACCAAATGAGGACGGCATGAGACGGTTGTTGAAGGTGGTGGGAGGTGGCGGTGACGTTGTAGGTATTGAAAAAAAGACACCGAGTGCCTAATATGAAATATTATTTTGACTTTTGAAAACTCCTCTAAATGGAAACTAGACAATGGGTTCCACACACGAGGGTATAATCGTTATTAAATGAATATTTAAAGTCAAAATGCCGACGCACTCAATTAGATGGTTGAAGCTCTATAAATTTGAAGCAACGCGTATGGCGCTCCTCACATCCGAACAGCATTTATTTTGACTTTCATCGGTGGAAGTGGTTTGATTTCGACTTTTCACCTTTTTAAATTCCTCTTTCATTTTTACCCAAAACTAATTAATAGACATTTTTGTATATTTATTGGTGTTACCAACGACGTGACACCATATGACAGAAAATAACGAAAGGTCTAATAATTACAAGTATATGCCATAAAATATGTTGGTGGAATAGGTACGAAAACAAGTCGACATAATTTTTGTTTTTAATATGGATTAAATAGATTAGATCGACCTATTGTTGGAACTTTATATATAAAGGAATTGCAACATGACAATTTCCTTTGTATCCCACATTAATGGGAAAAAACTTTTGTTGGTTTATAAGTTTATTCCCTTGGTAAGCCTTCAAAGGCTTTAATGAATCAAAGGAACGAGCCAAGCTTGCCCACACCTAGCACTAGTTGACTCCGTGAGTGCACGATTTAGGCGCTCTTTTAGGAAATGGCTGGTCAAATGGTTGACCGGCGTTGACTTCGTGGATGCTTTGTTGCTTACTTCCAGTAGAAGCGAAATAAAAACCTTTAAGGATAGATCTGGTTTCTAGAATATTATTTGTCGGTTTCCTTGCGTGTCTATTAGTTTGTTTTACATCACGTACTAACGGTGGCGGAGGCAGGAAGTTGTCATAGCAGTGACATAATTTTTTTCGTCCGAATATAATAACAATAAAATAATAAAATAAAAGTACTAGTACACTAAACCGATCCATTACATCTTAATATTTAAATTTGATAGCTATGGGTACACATTTTTTGAAACCGACCCATTACATATTCGATCTTCACTTTCATAAGTGCTTCTTTCACTTTCATAAGTGCTTCTTTTTCAACATAAGAAATCATGACATCGTTCAAAAAATCATCACATATTTTGTTACATAAATCCATCTTCAACAACTTCATCGCAGAAAAACATCTTTCGATTGTTGCGGTTGCAACGGGTAAAACCAAAACCAACTTCAACAACCTATAAACCATAGGATAAGACCGATGTTTCTCCGTTTCCACCATCAAACGAGAAATGTCGGAAATTCCTTGCAAACTAGTGAACCAATCATCTTTATGCAAAACGTGATAATATACTTCATTCAAGTTCACCATCAACTTGCATCCTCTCTGCATCATCAAAATCATTTTTGTATAACTCACTCAACTTTAACAACTTTGTTTTGTCAAATTTAGCAAATGAATCACAAGGACTCAAAGCCCCCATGTATTCTAGTAATCGGGTGCTAAGTTCACTAAATCGGTCCCCAAATTTTATAATTTGCATATCCATCAACTTCAAAATGAAATTGATTAGTAACTTTAGTCTTACGGCCTCTTGATGTGACATAATTTTTTGTTATCTCCATAATATTAATATCATGTTTTTGACAAAAAGAGAATACATTCGATAAAAGTTTAGCAAACCCTACGTCTCTTAAAGACTTCAATGCGTCCATTGTCCGTCTAACCAAAGATGCCGCTTCTAAAATATCTTGATCCTTTTTTTTTTTTGAAGATGCTTTGACAATATATTCGTGAAGTGTAAAATTTCATACATCAAATGTAAGTAAAACACGAAATCTAGTGTCTTGAAATATTTTAAGATACCATATGCTTGGTTTCAGTTACTCAAAGTGGATCCTTCCTCTTCTACATAAGCAAGAATATGACGAACCTCCGGAAATAAGTTCATCAAACTTGTGATGGTTTTGAAATGTGAACCCCATCATGTATCTCCCGCTCGAATAAGCGAGCTCTCTTGATTTAACCATCTTCTAGTTTCAAGTTCACCATTTCCAATTGACATTTGCACCCTTTCTCTTTGACTTTCCCATAGTATGTTTTGTCTTTTACATGAACCACCTACCACATTAACCACCAAAGAAAGTTGCTCAAAGAAATCGTCAACACCATCATGCTTCTTTGCTACATCCACAATAACTAACTGAAGTTGGTGTGTAAAACAATGCACATGATGCGTTGAATCGTTATTTTGTAAAATCAAAGCTTTTAGACCATTAAATGCACCTTGCATATTGCTTACCTCACCGTTACCTTGTCCTCTTACCTGATAAAAAAATATATTAAACATTAAAGCGAATAATATTCAATTAAAATTCATAGTAAGGAAAAAAATGTTATATTTACTTGGGACATACTCAAATTGTTATGGGTAAAAACGTCATCTATGGCCGCTTTAAGAGTCAATGAGGATGTATCTTTCACGTGCACCACTCCAATGAATCTTTCATTCACCACTCCACGGTTGTCGGCATATCTCAAAACTATGGCAATTTGTTTTTTTTTTGATACATCACTAGATTCATCAACCAATAAAGAAAACACATCTTTACCAATTTTTTGCAAATACCTAAAATTATCTCTGTTGAAAAGCGTTCAACAATTTGCTTTTGAGTCATCAGGCACGTCACTTGATTATTTTGAGAAGCATTTTCTAAGGTAACATTGCGAATGCCTTCATTATGGTCTCTCAAAAAAGATAATAACTCAAACAAAAGCACTCTATTAAGAGAGTCAGTCGACTCATCATGACCACGAAATGATAAACCATCTTTCAATAAAAATTTACAACACCAAATTGAAGCACCTAAAAGAAGTTTAAAATTACTCTCCTCAATCTTGGTTTGCTTCGTGAAGGCTTCACTAATAGATTGTTTTCTTTAATTAAAAATTCACAATTTTCTTTTGCTTTGTGATGAAAACTATCAAAACCACCCATATGATCTCTCAATGAATTTTTTTATTTCAACTATCAAAACCTTGTGAAACAAATGCATCTCTTCCATGTTTTTTTCCCACCATGTCTCCACATACATAGCAAAGTAAACAAAATGCTTTGTTCTCTTTTATGCCATATTCTAACCAATCAAAGTCATCAAACCACTCAACAACAAAACGCCTTTCTTTTGAACCTATTTTCTTTGAAGGGAATATATGACCCCTTGGTTGACAATGTCCTTGAAGCAAATATGCCCTCCTTATTTCATCTATTTGATTTGGATGTAAAGTTGTAATCTTCGTTCTAACACCCAGGTTTTTTGGAAGATCTTTCAATTCAATATTTGTAATTGGAGTAG